TCCCAACCCCCCCCCCCCACCCACACACACCTTCCTCACCTCCTTCTCTCCTTGCCCGCAGGGAGATGGAAACATCCGGTACTATGAGATCAGCACTGGGAAGCCCTACTTGAGTTACCTCATGGAGTTCCGCTCCCCAGCCCCGCAAAAAGGCCTAGGTAAGGGGTCAGGAAGCTGCCCTGGCTGTTAGGCTGTAGAACAAGAGACTGGATATTTGGCTTATGGATTACATGCCCCCCAATAAAGTATCAGACTTAGAAGGCCACAGCTGAAGGGCAAGTTAGATAGAATCTACAGGCGCTGCCCCTGTGAAGGTCAGCCAGCTGGTCTTCAGCCACTTGTCACCACCCACTTGGCTGGCTCATCCTCCCTTGGTGTTTGACATTGTCTGAGATCTCTGCTCATCAGAGATCGTGGAGAGGGGAAGGGATGCAGTGTCTTCATTCCCATTTGCAGATGGGAAGCCCAACGCAGTTCTGACATTGGAGGGTTTTCTTTTCCTTGGGTGGGTGAGTAGGGGATGGGACAGTGTGATGTGATCTGAAAGGCTGGCTGAAGATTGCTCGGCTTCTGTAGGGAGAGTGGATTCGGGAGCATGGATTTAGAAAGGCAGGAGGGAGGCAGAGAGACCAGTTCGGAGGCCACTGTGGATTTCTTGGCAAGAAATGATGGTAACTAGGGGGACAGCATGACAATGGGGAGAAGGGGGTGAATCCAGGAGATGTGTAGAAAGTGGCGTCAGCAGAACTCAAGGAGAAGAGGAGACAGAGGGAGGAACCAAGGGTAAACATTTCTTATCTTCCTCACCTGTGGCCACTACTGAGCATTTACCATCAGCCAGCACTTTGGAAGGTTCAGAGTGGCCAAGTAACTCACCCCAGGCAGAACACAAGCTCAGTCTGCTGGCTCCAAATCCCACTTGGGTGCCATTACACCACTGCCCTCCAGCTCCTGGAGTGACCTTGTCTGGAAGAGCAGCCTTTCCATTCCAGTTGAGGAGAGGTAGAGCCTTGACGCATGGTCACATCATGGAGAAGAAACGAATGTTATCTGTGCTCTTCACCATGCCCAGCAGTTAATGAGCATCTTCACACTCAATCCCCTGACTACTTTCCTTCTCTAACCAGCCAAGGAACCTGAAGCTCGTTGAGGTCATGATTTGCCCAAGGACTCCCAGCCATAAAGAGGGTCAGAGTCAGGATTCGAACCCGGGTTTTCCCTACCCCCAAGGTTGTGTTCCTAACACCACACTGCACACTGCTCCCTCGGTAGATGATCAGTAGGTGCAGCTGTTAGGGACAGTGTGGCTAACGACACACACAGACAATGCATGCACTCACATATGCAGACATCTGCTCTCAGTCCTAGAAGACTATGACAGGACAGCAGACAAGCTGCATTTAAATCTGAGGGGTGCATGGAAAAAGGTTTTTCCCTCCTTCTTCTCTGAGGATCAAGGACACAGACACTTCAGGAAGCCAGTTCATTTCAGAAGGTGATGGGTTCTGTGGCTTATATTGTAACAACACTCTGTGACCTTGGACAAGCCCCTTCCCTTCTGACCCTCAAGAGTCTCATCTATAAAAAGAATGAATTAGATCCCAATATTTCTGCAGCCCCTTCCAGTCCTAAAAGACCCCAATTCTAAAGCATGCACTTCCGCGAAGCAGGTCTGGCCCATGAGGCTTATGTGAGAAGTCACCACCCAGGACAGAACTGACTCATGAAGCCCTCAGCCCACCCGCTGCCCTCTGCAGGGGCCATTGCTCCAAATCTAGTGCCAACCGCTGGGGTCTCTCCCCTTGGCTGGGGACATCAGGGAGAGGGACACCAAGGGGGAACCCCCTGGGCCCCAGGAAGCCACGTGTAACTGTCCACAGGGGTCATGCCCAAGCACGGGCTGGATGTGTCGGCTTGCGAGGTGTTCCGCTTCTACAAGCTGGTGACTCTCAAGGGCCTGATCGAACCCATCTCCATGATCGTGCCCCGGAGGGTGAGTGGGGCTGGGCGGGACTCCCAAGGGCCCTCTGCCTCAAATCCTAGCTTGCTCTTCACTGACTGTGAGCCCGGAGGAGCCCAGAAGAAGTAGCCCTTTTACTGTGGACTTGGGTCTTCAGCCCCAATTTGGGGTGGGGAATGGAGGCCATTCCAAGGTGGGGGCGGTGTTGTTTGCTAATGAACTCAGGGTGGGAATTCCAAGTGGGAGACATTGTGAATGCAAAGGCTTGGAGGCATGAAAGCAGGTAACATGGTTGAAGGTCAGCGAGGAAAAAAGTCTGACTGCAGAGCAGGGGTTTTCTCAGCCCCCCCCCCCCATCTATTCCCTCTTCTGCTCCCCCCACTATAGTCAGATTCCTACCAGGAAGACATTTACCCCATGACGCCAGGCACAGAGCCAGCTCTGACCCCTGATGAATGGCTGGGAGGCATCAACCGAGGTAAGTACCGCAAGGGGTGGGCTTCACGAAAGAGGTAAGAGTGTGAGGGCTTTGCCTTCAGTCTGGCTCACCCCATTTCCCCGAACATCCTCCTGTTGGAACTTCCCTCACACTTGGCCAGCTGTCAAGCAGAGGCTGACTCAGTCCATCCATCATCAGTGAGAACATGTCCCTTGCCTTTCTTAGATCCCGTGCTGATGTCTTTGAAAGAAGGTTATAAGAAGTCCTCAAAAATGGTATTTAAGGCTCCTATCAAAGAAAAGAAGAGCGTTGTGGTCAATGGGATAGATTTATTAGAAAACGTCCCACCCAGGACAGAGAACGAGGTAAGGAATATAAGTTACTACCTCCACAGGCCCTGGAAGAGTGAGGCCTTTACATTTCAATTAGGGGTCAGGCCTTTAAGCCAGCTCCATTCTGAAGCCTTTTTCTTTCTGAGACAAACACCATCAGTAGCCTGCTGTTGGCTTCCATTGCCTCTGACCCCTGTAAATAGAGGCTGGGATATCACAGGGATATTGATGCCCCTCCCCCAACCCTCACATTCACTAACCCACACAGTCACCTGTGGACTCACAGTCTCCTCGTGAATCCACTGCAGAATGTCGCTGTCATTTGATGGTACAGGAGACACAAATTCCTGACTCACAGAGGAAAGCCAGCCTCATGCATTACAGCACTGCCTTCCTTCCTGGCGCTGGAGCACTGATGAGATCTGACAATTTCCTGTTCTGTGAAAGACACTGGGTGTCTATGGAAATGCTCTTTGTACCATTTGCCATGGGAGTATTCAGGAGCAGTCGTAGCTGGGCCCTGTCCATGCCCCCGAGGGCTTCTCTTTCTAACCACACCCTCAGTCTGTGGTGCCAATACAGTTTAGCTCAGCCAGGACTCACAGAACGCCCACGATGTGCCAGGCACTTGGCTTGATGCAGCTGAGGTGGAGATGGCTGCATAGACCCACCTGCATTGGCATCTGGCTCTCCCATTTCCTGGCTGTGCCCGAACAAGTTTCCTGACCTTTCTAAGTCCCTTTCCTCATGGCAAAATGAGGATATGAGATGCTGTGAGCGTGAAAGAGATCGGCTCTCCCTGGCTCACATCAAGTGCTCAAAGAGGCTGACTATTAGCTATCTACTGCCATGTAACAAATTACCCCAAAACTCAGTGACTTAACCCCACAAACATTTGTTATCTTATAGTTTCTGTGGGTGCCTGTAGCTCAAGGTCTCTCAAGAGGGTGTGAAGTATCAGCCAGAACTGCAGTCGCTCCTGGTGGCTCATCTACTTCCAAGTTCATTCACCTGGTTGCTGGCAGGACTCACGTCCTACCAGGTTGTTGGATTGAGAATCTCAGTTTCTCATGGCTGTCGGCCAGAGGTGCCCCCTCAGGGCCTTGCCACATGGACCTCTCCATAGGGCAGCTCACAACATGGCACTGGCTTCCCTCGGAGTGAGTGAGGAAGAGGGGTGTCTAAGATGGGTGCCACAGCCCTTTGGTAGTCTAACCTTGGAAATGACATCCTATTACTTCTGCCATATTTTACTCATTTGAAAATCATTAGGTCCATTCGATCCTTGAGGGAAGAGGATAACAATGGGGGGCCACCTTAGAGGCTTCTTGTCACACCAACTTATGATTGCCACTATCTATAATAATAAAAGCATAATATGCTAATTAGATCAGACATCCTTCTGGACGACCTTCCAGACGAAACGGGCTGTGAGGGAAGCCCGGGTCCCGGGTGCTAGAGGGAAGCTGGTACCGGCAGACAGGGGAAGGAAGGCCTATTCTTGCACGAATTTCATGCATTGGGCCTCTAGTTATTCATAAAAATAAGACCATTCCTGACCTCTGGGACCTCATAGTTTTAAAGTGGAAATTGACAGGCAAACTGGTAATTGTTATATAATACGTTTATGTGCCATTATAGAGGGATGTTGAGATTTCTAGGGCTGGATGGAATCATGTGATAAATGGGATTTGCTTCTAAATAATCCCTGAAAGTGGGGTGGGGGGCGTGCAGGAGAAGTGGGCAGGAGCAGATACCAAGAATAGGTGGATATCAAGGAGGAAAAGCAGTAACACGTGCCATTTGTTGAAGCTGACTGCTGAGTGCTTGGAGATTCATGGTGCTATTCTTTTTACTTTTGTATATGTTTGGCATTTTCTATTAAGAGTTTGTGTGTGTGTACCTTGAGAAGGTAGAGGTACCTGATTTGCTTTGCTAGCCCATCTGGGCCATATCAGGAGCCTGAGCTCAGTTCTAGTACTGGTGTGGAGAAGGCAGGGTTGACTAGTATTTAAATCACATACCATTTAGCTATAGACTTGTCTATATGATGAGGACCTGGAGAAGGATAAAGGATCTCTGGCCCTAGCTGGTTTGGCTCAGTGGATAGAGAGTCAGCCTGCGGAATGAAGGGTCCCAGGTTCGAGTCCAGTCAAGGGCACATGCTGGGTTTCGGGCTTGATCCCCAGAAGGGTGCATGCAGAAGGCAGCTGGTCAAAGATTCTCTCTCATCATTGATGTTTCTCTCTCTCTCTCCGTCTCCCTTCCTCTCTGAAATCAATAAAAATATATAAAAATAAAATAAAAGCTCCTGAGCAAAATATGTTACTTAAAAAAGGGGGGGGGTCTCAGAGCAGACAAAACAGATGCCACAGTCTTCCTGCACTAAAGCCTGTGCACTATCCTCATTGGGAAGAAATTCGCTCAGAGCCTGCTAACTCTGGTTTTACCCACAGTTTTAATCTTCGCAGCAGCTTGGAAGTAGCCAGTTAGAAAATGGGGCCTTAAACAGTAGACACGTTGATCTAAGTGTAAAGCGATGACTGGTGGCTGACACGAGGGAGGAGGCTTATAGTTGCACAACTCTGTAACTTTACCAAAAAGCACTGAATTGTACATTTAAAATAGGTGACATTTATGGAATGTCAATTATACCTCAATAAAGTCTTTTTAAACAAAAGTTGAAAAAAGTGTGCAAAGAAATTTTGAGAATTTGGAAGGCACAGGAGTGTGTATGAGCAAATAACATATCTTCCTTCAGACAAAACCAGGACTGGTTTGTTGGTATTTTTTTAAAAAATCCGTTAAAGGAGGAAATCATAAAAATGACATATACATTCTTCAAACCACTTGTTTTCATTTAAAACATATACATTCATCCAACATTTTTTGATGCAGGGCCAAAACTGTTTCTTTGAGGACATCCCTGGATGAACTCTGCTATGTTTTTCTCAAATAAATCACATCTTAACTCCAATTTCCAGTTTCTTTTACATAGAACAAGAAGAACTTAAAATCCATCTGAAAACAAAACCCTTGTTTTTTTCAAAGTTTTCCCCAGTTTTTAAAAAAGACAACTTTATTGGGTTTTAATTCACCTGTGGTAAAATTCATCCTTTATAGTATACCGTTCCATAAGTTTTGACAAATGTGTAAGAAGTTTCTATATGCATGTAACCACTCTCACACAATCCAGATGGAGAAAATCCCCGTCTTTTGTGGTTACATCACCCACAGCTCACTCATTCAGCAGCAGCACTTTTAGCATTGCCTTTACCAAGATTTTTTAAACCATTCACCTTAGTTTATATAGGACAGTAACTGTCTTTTGTACTCACATTTCAGCAGTTTATAGCATATCGAATTGAAGTATGCAATTGCAAGAGCAAATGCGACCCTCCCCAGGAAGTTTGAGGAGGAACCCAACTGCTTGTTGGTACCATTCGACTCAAGCGTGTGGGTTCCTCCAGTAGCCACGGCCTTCCAGGCCGCAGGGTTCGGTGGGCATCTGTCCGTCTGTTTTACAGAAGAAGTGGAGGGGCAGGTTAATGCAAGCGGTCGCCTAAGTGAGGGTCTGTCTTTGCCTGTGCCCACGCCAGCAACTGGATCACTGCCCCGGGCAAACTTTGGGGTACCTGTGATGGTTGTTCCATGTCAGGGAAAAAGCTGGATTCCGTCTATATCCTGCGCCTCCTGAAGCAAGCATTTTAGAAAGGTTTCCATTCAGAATGATAACTAAAAGTGTTAGGTTTGGGATGTTTGGAAACGGCCGTGCAGTGATCCCGAATCCAGCCCGGGGCAGGTCTATGTTCTTCCCTACCTCACAGGGGAAAGTAGGAGCCGTGAGCTGAGTCTGGGGGAGGGAGAGCTGTGGTGACATCAGTCACCTGGGACACTACAGGGGGGAGCAGTGGAAGGTGGGGGGGGG